AGAAAAAGTTATGGAGAAACTCCAGCCACATATCCGATAGATTTATGCTCGGATTATTGTTAATATTGGAACTCTTTATAATAAGTCATAATGCTCTCCCGGAGTTAGTCTCCCACTTTATAGTGGAGAAGAAGCTACAGACATTCTTTGCTCACGGCATGCACCACAAAGGTTTATGTAGCGCATCTCCTAAGGTAGTTGGGAAGCCCAAGGTAGCATATTCACGACATGTTCGCCTATAAGCAGGCATATGCCCTTCACCACCGTTTCCACTGTCACCAATCCACCGTGTCAAACTCATCAAGGTTTACAGTGTTCGGACCACCCTGAAGCAGCTGCGTAGTTTCCAGGGTTGAGCTGTGCACAGGTTCCTCGTGTCTGTCGCACTGTTGGTGAAAAACAGCACCCGTCGAGCTGCTTTGGCTAGCTATGGAGCATGGCCCTATCCGTTGTTCCCCAGGAGCGCTGAGATCGCACGCTCATTCGATGAATTCAGGAATGTCCGAAGCACGGCACATCCCGTCACTAGGAAATGTTGCAAACACGACCCTCCCCTCCATTTTTTCCTCTGGTACGATACCTTCCCTCCAGCGACCACAGATAGCCCCTCGCCGGGATCTCCACCGTGCCCTGGCTCTATACAAGAAGGACCACTAATTCCATGGTCAGCACAAAACCTATCAAGGTGTCCTCCATGAGAGTCTTTTCTTGCCTTCGCCGTATACGATCTCACACTAGCACATACTTTTTACAGTTCATGCGAAGAGACGATGCGCATGCCCTCAGCAAGAGGCATACTCGAAATCCCTGAGATCGGGTAGGCGTGGCCGCATGCTTCAACTTAACCTGAAGGTGTCTATGCTTCTGGTGAGATATTTTCATCTTGACACAATTGTTGTCGTGTCTCTGTCCAACACAGAACAAGATGACAGTTGTCCCAGACTGGAATATTCCACGAGTAACCAGTTCCGTGCCATGTTCCGAACCTACTCTGGCTCAGGGATAAGGAGTGTACCTGATTTCAGGCGCAGACAAAATTGACGAAGGTTTTCGGTTCAACGTTCGTACAAGGGCTACCAGATACGCTACGCGGAAGTTAAACATGCATTTCAGCGAAAAGAAATTCCCATTAACGAACTGTCTGCGCCGATAAGGAAGTTCGAATAGACCGGCGGAATGTCTCAGAATGATTTAATTATGGCATTTATCCAATGTAAAACACAATAATACACAAGAAATACCCGTTTGTAACAGAAAGACTGCATGAGTATATACAAGAAAAAGTCATAGGAAAGTCATAGCTGCTTCCAGCTGACCGATGAAGAAGAACTAATTGAGAATTCAGATAGTACAGCAGTAGCCGATTAGCTGCTCATCATCATGGAGAGTTTCTCTTTACAAGTCCAATCTCAGCTGGATTCGATTAGATTCGAAAAGTTCGGTGATTTCGCTGACAATCGTTGAAGGAAGTTGAGCTACTTCTGACGAAAGGCGAACTGATTCGATTGATCGATTCTTGGAGATATTTCTCAGAAGCCTGACGATATGCCTGAAAGCAAAAGAAAAAGTATGGAGGGAAGTTTGGTCGATGCAGGTCTATTGAAAAATCTTGAAATAAAAATTATAAAATCTTTCGATTAGGACCTGGTGACGAAAGGAAAAATTGATTTAATGCTGAAGGGCTTTTTCTTCCTGAGGTCACAGTGAGATCGATCAACAGTTGGGGAGACACATGCCGTAGGTTCAGCCCCCATGGGAACCGCTTAACGTGAAGAAGGCGCTGTATTTGCTGCGGAAGCGTCGTATACCATCGCTGAGCAAAACCCATCTGGGGACCGCACATGGGTTTCTTGGGAAGAGGTCGCATTTGGACTTCAGAGAAATTTGTTGGTAGGTTGGTAGGTAGGTTCTTGGGCAGAAAGAATAATGCATTCCGCGTCGATCAGCTCCCCCTCCCCCTCTAGCTGCGCCATGATTCCTACTGAAATCCAAAGTTGCAATATTGTAGTAGCATTTGGCTTGCATAGTAGCTCGCGGGTGGCAACTCTGGGAAAGTCTATACCCCACTACCAGGCCCTTCCCACGGTCTCAAATTATCGGTGTCGATGGTGTGCAAAGTTTGGTTGAGCGGATCCGTTGCAGAATTAGAACCCTAGACCATGTGCACGGTAAGCGCCACCAGTTTTCGCTGAAGAACCTCCGCCTCATTAGCCACCTTTGGAGCTTCTAAACCATCCCCTTGCTTTCATGTACTTGGAGATTGTTATGGTCCGAATATAGCTCACACTGATAGCTCTGGTAAGGAGTAAAATGAATCCGTAAAAGTGAGAAGCTATAAGGTAGAAAAAAAAAAAAATATGAAGTAATTACGAACTCAGTTGAGCTGGACCCGATTGGCCTGCAGAAAGTGATGTCAACTGATCGAGTGTTGATCGTGCTTAACTGAAGGTCGTCGAACTGTTCATTGATGTGATGAATTCGTAGTTCAAGGCAGTCAATGGAAATATGAGGTACAGCCGATGCCAGATTGTGCGAGCACCATCTCCTGAAGGTGAAAAAACGGTTTGGAATGCGAGCATGTCTTTCAGAAGTGTTGGCAAGGTTTTACTGAATAGTCTTATTTCCTCACTTAGTACACTTAGGAAGCTGCACTGATTCCCTTCTGGTTGGTTGTGTGATAGGTACGTATCCCATTGTTGAAACTGATCGTTAAGATCAGATATGGAATTTCTGGGATAGCGAGATCGTCTAGGGCTGAAAAAAGCAGCAGGCTATTGAATAATACTAATTTCATACTTATTTGCTCGTTGTGGGCAGCTTCCGAGTAAAAAGAGGAAGAAGAAAAGAGTGAATTTACCTGATCAGATTCTTCCATCTCTTGCTAACCGACTGAAGATTCGGAATCTCTTCACCGGGTAGATTAAGGAAGATTTCGTTCATTACAACGCATGGTAGACTGTCGAAGCCATCCAGAAATCCGTCAGGAAGCCTTAAGATACACCATTTACTCAAGTGAGCGCCAATCATTGTAGAACAGGAATACAGTTCTCAACAACTGTTGAACATATTAATATTAGGGTGTCCGGAAAGTTTTGAGAAATTTCAACCAGCTCATTTAACACTTATCAACAACAATAAGAGATAGTAGTTCATAGTTATAATAAATATTGTCCATCCTATGTCCCTTACCTTTTGGGCGGGATTACCTTGCGTGGGAGCTAGAACTAAGCGAGTACTGAGAATGAGGGGGCGTACGCAACATCTAAGCTAAACTTCCATGGAAGAGACCGATTGATCTCCTAGTATAGATAATTTTGAAGCGCATTTTATCCAGCATCGGAGGCGGTTCCTCATTCCCGATTTGACCGATAGAGGAGCCAGAACGGTGAAGATGAAGTAAAAGGCGTTGGGAGTCGTGCGCGCTCGTACATTTTTCAGGTAATGTCAAATCATACCAACAATGGAGAATAATAACAACCAGCATTAGTATTGATCTACAAACATTTCTCTTTCTCATAGCACTTGATATATGATTTTCTGTTGGGGCATTCGCTTGCTACACTTCTTCAAACTAAAAGTGTGAATTTTCTCAAAACTTTCCGGACAACCTAATATTAAACGACTGCAAGCTCTCTATGGGAGCGGGCGGGGGGGATAAAAACACGATTTTGTAGGTACTAGTTGACTTAGCAGTGAAGAAAAGAGCAAAAGAACCCTACTAAAACGGTTCAAATAAGGCAGTGGACGATGGTGCGTGATAAGCAGAACGGCTATGCCCACGGACGGGAGGCCGGGCCTTTGTCGCGTAGGAGAGTACACACAGCCGCAAAAGCAATGAGAATGGATACCCCTGTGTTATGGAAAAAGCCAGGTCAGTGAAAGCGTGGTCAGGCTCAAGCCACAAGCAATTGCGTCCCTGCCGTGCCCGTTCGATTCGATTGCAAAAAGGTAATTGTACTTATTGCGCTTGTGGACGAGCTTGCTGTACACGCGGAAGTATTCTAGTTGGCGTGTAATCGCGCAATATGTCTGTAGGTTCAGCTGCGCGAGGAACATCCTGTATTGACCAGCCGTTTAGACATGGCCATGTATGCTACGCCCATAATGGATTTACCAGGCATTTAAAAGCGCAGAAATGAGGAAATGATGAATAGGTCGAAAGGTCAAGGTGTCTTTAGCTCGGACACATTGTGGGACACATGAAAGTTAGCGCAACTCTTGCTTTCACGCTTCTGTCTGGTGTTGAACTACTTAGCTGTCATTGCTGTCCTGATCTGCGATGTCAAAGGGGTATTGGGTTCCATATCAGTAAAAGGGCGACATTCCGGTCATAATTGCTGCCCTAAAAAACTACTCACTGGTGGACAGTCCTCTTCGCATGCCGTTGAATAAGCGTAGGAGCGTATAGTTGCGTTCCGAGTAGACCGTCTAATACACGCAGTAGAAGGAAGAATAGGTATTCTTTGCAGTACTTCCAAGACACTGCTGCTACGTTCAGGTAATGCAGCCCTGCTAAGGCGTAATTCAGCCATATCGAAGAAGCGATTATGGGATGTTGATAGTCTATAGACAAGGAAGTTGAAGACGAGGTCAGTTAGGCGAATAGTCACAGATGGGCGACACTGTAAAGGAGAGATGGGGCGCTCCTTTTAAAGCGGCGATTTGAACGACTGAGTGTTGTTGTTGTGATAAGCGCTCGCCGACCGTCAGTCGTGTTCTCGAGACGAGGGAATCCTCGATAGTGCTATCAGTGAGATGGCCATACTTAGTCACCACGACGATACGAACCTTGTTCTGAGATCACATCCACGGCTGGCCTAGTTGAATCTCTCACTTTCTAGAAATACCCCAATTTGCATTTCCCACGTTCCTCCTTTGCTAGCAACACGACGAGGATTTCCTGTTCTGTAATTCAAGGGGGAGAACTTCCGAGCTTTCATACTGGGTCCTTTAAGATATATGATTCGTAGGCCTTAAAGTTTTGCGGCACGCATTCTACTACCGTTAGGATCGTAGTGGCTTACTGAATGCGACGGCCCTAGACAATGACTTGCGGGGCCCAGCCGATGTACAAGTCAGTGTCATTATCCTCCCAGACGAATCTGGTACCAATTTACCGTCCCCGGAGGAAAGAAGGCTTGGTTGGCCTGGGCGGGAGCCGACCCAGAATTAGACCCACTGGACCGGAAGCGTGGTAAGTCGCTTGCCACTTCACCACCTCCACCTCAGCCCTTTTTATATACCGATATGATTTCATGTGATGCAAGAGGCCTCCAGTGATAAGACCATTGTTAGCACTCAAGAAGAAAATGTGAAAAAATGCCACTAGACAACGTGCATAGCAATTTAAAGGTAGCAAGCGAAAGTTACTCCTTATATACAAGATACTTTTTAGGTATTCTACGATAATGGGTCATCATGACATCGCCTTTTTCTTAAAAACTTTACGTCAAAGAGACAAATTTTGACCTTCGAAATGGCGACGTCTGTAGAAGTCAAAGGGAACGTCCACGAACGTCCAGAACATGCTGGCAGAGCTAGACGTGATAACTCGCAAACAAATATGGCTTTGTTTTCATGGGGAAAGAATACTTAGACCACCATGGAACGGTATACTGCACATCGACGGAGTGGAAGTGGCTGGGAACTTTACTTACCATGGCGTATGTAGAATGTGTCGTTCGTGGAATATTTTCATTTCGTGCAAAATTTATCTCATCTTGTAAAGGACAAACTCATGGTTGCAACTGTTCTGAAACTGCAATATCCCTCTATAAACGCAGCTACAGTCACGTTTACATGATATGCGCAGCTACGCAGCCAGAGACTCTCCATCTCTGGGATATGGAAAGCAAGCTGGAACTCATCATCATGCAGTGAATCAAGCTCCTCCTCGTTTTTAAGAATCGGAAGCGATGCGCTATAAACAGTAGCGCGAGGCACCCTTGTCTTGGAAGTTCACTATTCGCGCGAGAAAACGATCGCTTGGAATTCCGGTCGATCGCCGAAGTTTGTAAACGCGCTCTTAACCACGACGGGCCCAATACTAGCCGTAGAGTAAACCTCTATCCACAGAGCGGAACAGATCGCCTCGTGCTCTCCTTCCTATAGAGGAACTAATCTATCATAATTCTAGTTTAAGATCTGCAGCGGAATTCACGGAAATTTCACAACAACAATCCTTTGGAGGGACTATCCTGTCGCTAATGTCGGACGGCCTCCCCTTGTTGGTTTAGAAGCACTGTATTGGTGCCCAAATGCCAGTTCTATGACCGTACGTTTTGCGACCGAATTCTGATGCATAACTAGTAGATTTTCATTCCGTTCCTTACAACTTTTCTTACAATCCTCTGAGCCTTCTCTGAAGTCATCTGAACATTGTGTTCTCGGATAAATAATTTTGGCGAACTTTTCGCAAATTTTTCTAGAAACATTAAAGCACCTGTAAACGCGTTGATAGTCGAGGAAATAGCTGTAGAACTTCTAATTAATCTCAAAAACCCTTTTTCGCTTTTTCATCATGTTTTCTAACAAGTTTGCAGGCCATGCTTCTAATTAGGGTGTGGTCTTTCGGAATGATCTATTCTTGTGATCACACCACTTTGTTTATAAAGCCATTAAATATTTCCGAAGTCATTAAATATCCAAGGCGTGGTCTTTTATGTGAAAATTATACTGGTCTGCTGATAAGGGGCTACTCGTGCCTTTTATCACAAATATTTACTATTCACTGCTGGCGCTACCTTTTGACTTCGGCAAACAACAAAGCTGTACCATGACGAGATGGTGAGTGATGCCTTCTTGGAGCCTTAGCTGGGACAAGTTCAGGCACCGCAGTAAGGTGTCGTAGAACCCATTAGACATTAGGTCAAGATTAGGAATAAAAACCTTGATGGGAGAGGCCTGCAAGTCGCTGTATTGCTACTACTTCGCTATTTGACAGAAATTCACAATGCTTGCAGGGATGGCGGGGGGGCGGGAGGGGAAGGGAACACAATCCGCGAAAGACAAGAGGAAAAAACAAGGCCTAAAGACAAATATTGAAAAGCTACAGGATGTGACTTCCCTACCCCTCTCATAGCGTCATAAGCGCACTCAAGAGGTCAATCCAACTTGGGATTCCAATCTCCACTGTGGAATAAAAAAGTCGTTGCCCCACAGTCACTTGTAGTCACAGCAGTTAGTAGCTAACAAATATCTTCAACACAAAACATGCGAGAATACGACCAACATCTTGATGAGAATATACTTGGTTTCAAATCTCTAGAATAAGTTACTTCACTCTGAACGCCGCGAATGTTTCGTCCTCATTTTACTTTATTGCTTGTTCTTATAAATTCTGACGATACAAAGTGCTAATTCTATTCTATCTATATTAAAGAAGAAGTAATTGAGAAACAACTGGAAGACCTGAACCAAAAAAAGATAGAAAACTATAGCTTGCCGTCTACAACTTTCTTCCGGTCCGTTCGACTTTATGCGAATGCGCCTTCACTTCCCACAGAACAGGATGGATAACTAGAAAACAAGCGAATAAATAAAACATACTATCACGGCAGACTATAAGGGTGCCACAGGAGCATCTTTTCGCTGCTAGTAGTCCGTCCTAGCATAAAATTCATTTGTAGTCTAGCTCACTGCAGAGGCAAGGGACTTGTCAGACGGTATGAGGTTCTTTGAAATCCTTCTTCACCAGCTGTTGAGGCGAGTAAGTGACAGTCCGTGTCATATCGTTCGTATCACTCCTATTCTATCACTTCTTGTCACATACCCGCCACAACAACTCGTGGACAAGGGTTTGGGGTCTACGGACAACTTGAATTCAATCCCTTTGAATGCGTCGAACATCTCTCTTTCTCTACACCCTCTCGTCCTTGTTGCATTCTGTACTCATTGTGACCTGTCATATTCCACTTTTTGACATATGGTCAGTGGCTCACCCACCCTGGAGTCCTCTTCCCTTGAGAACTCCCACTCCCCGACTCGCAATACGTTTTTGGCACGTTTCGATGCTTTGGCAACCGCTGCCCTCTCTATCGTCTGCGATCACTCAGTTTCGCCTACAGGACGCCAGCAAAGGTGTCAAGATAATCACGTAACCCATAGCGGTTTGGCGCCGTGGCACACTCATACTGCCTGACACGCCCCCTCCATCCGGGCCGAAACTTGAGTATGATTATTCATTTATGTACTTACTCACTATTTAATTGTTTTACCCTGTGTGCTTCCTAATCGAGCAAGCAAAGAATTCCAACACCTATGTTCCGACATAAGGCGAGATGGTGTAGTGACAAGTGGGGCGCTCACCATTCGCGCGGTCCCGGGTTCGAATCCCGGGTCGACTCCCGCCCAGGCCAACCAAGCCTTCTACCCTCCGGGGACGGTGAATTGGTACCAGATTCGTCTGGGAGGAAAAACACTGACTTGTACATCGGCTGGCCACCGCAAGTCATTGTATAGGCCACATCGCATTCAATAAGCCACTACGATTCTGAATGGAAGTAGAATGCGTGCCGCATCCCACAAAGGGATTGATCAACGGCGAAGACTTTATCCTTTATCCTTTATGTTCTGACATCCTGACAACGTGGTTCCCCTAATGCCATTTCATTTTTGAATGGATATTTTTTGAAAAAAAAACCTGCATGTGTCTCACATCCAGAACAGGTTCCAGCGCTACCCTCCACACACTAAGAGAGTTTCTTGTGGGACAAAATTCCTCTAGCTTATGGTGTGATTTCCTTAGAACACTTTGAGAACCCCTCTTTGAGAGGAATTCGAATATGCGAGCATCTTGAGAGTTTTGCTATTTGTGCATCTTTTTTGAGGAGAGGATTTGTATAGCATCCTCCCTCAGACATTCTGTGTCTGAAGAATGGGGAATTCTCTTATTGGAGGTTGAATTAGGCACGGTGATTTCAAAAGACGCGTAGTTGGTCAAGTAGAGCACCTTGTTTACGTTTTCGTCCATGTGGATAAGATGAGAGTAATCTGATGTTTGAGAGTAACTCAGTGTCGACGACGCAGTGTAGTCACCGTCATCGACACTGAGTTGGTGCCGATCAGAGCTACAGGATATTCGTAGCCCGAGCGCTTAAAGTTGAATGTTTCTGCTATTTTCTTCAGGGGAAGCTGAAGGAGCAGTTCATTCCAAACTGCTCTGCAAATAACAATTATTTTTTACACTCTTACTTTTTTGCACTTTTACTACGTCCTGATTCCCAGAAAGGTACTTTGTTCCATTTAGTAAAGGAGGCAGGAAAATGGTGTATGGGCACCAGGCAATCAGATTAGTTTCTGGTACAAAGTCCTCCAGCTGAGAAATAATCCCTCCGCCGACAGCGAAATGATTACTTAATCGCATGCCATTTTTTGGAACG